CAAATACATGAAATGCATAATCCTATATTTCTTAGATTTAATATGAAATTCATAATATAAGTAAGTATTTGAGAAGGACAAGTATCACTTGCCATTGTCCTTCTTGTCTACTTAGTATCACTTTCAATTTTTCCTTTTGCCTTTCCATCTTCCTCATCGGCGCAGCGATGAAACTTTATACTGCCAATGATTACCTTCATTTGCTAATGTAATAGGAATGATAACTAGGGAGTAAAAACGACATTCTATTTAGTTCTTCAGAAAAATAATAGATATTCTATTTAACAAGACTGTGACAAACTAGACAAGATTAAGTAGAAAATGTAAATAGAAAATGTAGAAAGGCGTAACGTCACGCAACATTTCAACTCAACATATCGCTATCATATATTGATTACGCGAAAAATTAAAAGATACGTGTTTAACCTTCGCAAGTAAGACAATGTGTGGTATTTCTAGCTCCCTAATCGCCGGCGCAGGGACTTATACACTCATTATGTATAATAAGTCATAATATCCCACCTCACACCTCCGACTTCCTATCCTATACAATTTCTGTTCAAGCTTTGGACCTACTTAAGAAATATCGCAACTTTACGATTCTTCATCGCAGAAGCGAAGAGCTAATTTCTCTCCCACTATTAACTCTCGTTGATATATCTATTTTTCTTTTTACGTATATCTATTTAATTCCCGACGCTATTGCACCTACTACCCTCCATTATTATTATTTATCTATTATTTCTGTAACACAATTGGAATTTAGAAGACACAATTTAGAAGAGAATGCTGCATAGAAATAAGACCACCCTGTTTGTATACTGTCTAAATTTTTTTCTTTCTGTGTAATATGTCTTATATTTGTGCCATATTATTATTAATATTCTTCAATTCTACCTGAAGAACTAATAAACAAAGATTAGTCAACAACTCTATTTCATCACATGAAAATTATTTAAAGTAACATCATCAGTGATAGAAATAGATAATGCTTATTGGCCTAAAGTTTTAAGAACAGAGACATAATTAAAATTAATAACAGAGACATGAAACGGAAACTTGGGACTATTCATATTTTTAAAGTTTAAGTGCCGGTTGCACCATAATTGCAGTTAAAGTTACGCTAACTTTAATATTGACTGTGGAATGCGTTGCACCATCCTCTTTCTTGGCTTATTAAACAATATCTTTAACTACCGAAAGTTAGGCTTTTATTAAAGTTTTCATTTACAGTTTTGACATCATCAAGCAAATGCCAAATGATAACTAATTATTATTTTGAAAAAATCCTTGAATTTTTTTAAAGGTTTTTTCGTTAAGAATAATTTTCAGTGTAGCATTATGAATGCAAAATTCATTAAATATAATTATTATCATTTGCTTACCGGGTACAATAATATGTTTATTGTTATTAAAGTAATTTGGTGCAACTAACCTTAAATGTGTAATATAGTCGAAAAGAAGTATCCGTATCTTCGTAAGTACCTATCCTATCTCTGTCTTCGACAGTGTCTTCGAAGTTTACTACAGAGTTCAGGCAATACGCCCTGTAGTAGCGAAAAGGTAACAAGTGCTTGAAAGATTCCTCAGTCCTGTTAGTTCCTGGGTAGCTCAGCGGTTAGAGCAGTCGCCCGGATTACGGAAGGTCATGTGTTCGAATCCCATCTCAGGGTGCCAGGAAGCAAGTGGTCTTTTTAAACATTTTTCAGTATAGCTTAGTGAATGCCAAATTGATGAAATATAATAAAGAGTAACATTTTTCAAATTAACCTTCTGGGGTATTACATGTTTGTAAAACAAAAATTCTGCTAAGCCATATTGTTGCTTATCTAAAGATTCATACTCTACATACATTGAAACATGTAGACTAATTTCAAAATCTATCCCCGTCCCTTTCAAAAACGATAATGATAACGATTTATGGAAATATAGAACTTTTCTCGCATTCTTTTTTGAGATGAATGATGACTTGAATAATCGAGAGAGATCGTAGGTTCGATTCCCAATCAGGTTGATGTAGAAAATAGACTTTTCTATATCGGGTCTGAGGTCTGGGTGTTGTGGTACCTTCAATGTCTCAGATTTTTAGCTACTCATCTTGGTATCTGAGCAACATATGCGATGTTGTCTCATATATAATGTTTTGTTTGACATTCCATCAATAACTTTCAAAGATATTTACGTATAACGCTCGCCTATACAACTTCAATTAACACTAAATTAACCATACCATTTATTCAATATTTTTAAAAGTCAAGATAGCAATCACTATTACATGCCAATTAGTTATAGCGTGAAGTTCTTGAATATATTATATCAAAAATGTAAAATTGGGATAGATTTTAACATTATACAGTCAAGCCAAGGTCTCATTACAATAATAAAAACAGTACACAAATATCTCATAATTCCAAGTCACACGGCCAAAACAGCTTTTCTTAATAATTATCTTGGTTTTCCTCTAATTAAATGTTAACAAGTTGCTAAATGCCATCAAACAGATTTATATGTGTACCATTCACATTACGATATTTAGAAACAATTAGGTAATTAAACAATTACACAATAGACTATTGGTATAAATCAGTATTGACAAATAAAATATAAAATAAATGCGCTAATACTACAACAGATTATTTTAAATAGCAAAAACAAATGGTTTTTTGGTAAACAAATATCACATCTAAAATCTTTTTGTACGCTTTTCTCATTATACTTACATCATAAAGAGGAAAGTTTTGAATGGTTGTTTGTTTGTTTGCATCGAATAGGCTCTGAAACTACTACACCAATCTTAAAAAAACTTTCGCCTATAGCTTCATCATACGCGGTTGACATAGGCTATTATTTACGCGCGGGAACAACTACTTTACAGCAACTTTAATTATAAAGAGAAAAGATTTGATAATTTGCATTGAACTCCGAAACTAATGTATCTATTTTATTAAAAATTATATCACCTACGAGTAGCTACATCATCATCACATGAGCTATCGTTAACGCAAAGCCACTGGAAAACAGATAGTATCATATAAAGAAATAAGTGTCATACTTTTAGGGTAATCTAAATGTCATTGGCCCTTACATTTTAATTATGAAGCATAAACAATACGTCACTAAGACAGATGAGTAAGAACCACTAATCGACAGAGGCGCGTGGCGCTCACGCACGTTAATGATTGGTAACTCGTGGTCGCATCCTCGTGAGCGATCATGTGATTGTGATGAGTCCACTTAAGCAAATAAATAGTCTGCTGGTGACCACAAATGCTACTGTCAACATTCGGAGCGTACACAACCAATTACCACATGCAGCCGATCACAGTTAATGTCAGATTTTATGTGTTTTTGTTTGACATCCCGAAACACCTTAGCGGGAAGATCGATATGATAATTCAAGTTAGAAAAATTGAATCAGGTAACAAGTTAAAAGAGTGCAGGCCATTCAAGAGACTATTTTATTACTGACTGATACTAGACTGAATAGATACTAAATATTACTATTTTATTCAAAAACCGAAATAGAACATTTCTTTTAAAATTTGATTTGAAATCATTGTGAGCCTTTGAGTCCTCCAAACAAAAAAGAAATAATTCCCAACCTTCATTTATAAATTCATATAAAAAACGTGAAAAAAATATATATTTATACATTCTTTATTTATTTACCTAGTTAACATGTCATCTGTTTCGCGGTAGCTAACAGTTTAATAAAAACATTCGATTTAATTTTGATTTATTTTTAAGATAGAGGGTTTCACTAAATAAAGCGGCACAAATATTTTTAATTAATTACTCACATTTATTGCAATATGTTTCAGTATTTGACTATCTCATTAATTTTATTTCTTTAAGAAATAAAACAAAATATTTTTAATTTTGTTTATCACAGTTTAATTAATACTCTAATTGTTTCGTCCACAATCCATCAGGAAACATTTTGGTTAGCCAAGGTTAATAGTGTATTATGACATGTAAAAAAAGAAAATTAACATTTTTTACTTTTAAAAAGGCAACTTTTTAAATATTCTTACATTTCTATTTTATATTTCGAGTCTAGTAATCTGTTACTACAATTATTTATTTATTTTCTATTTGTCCAATTCTCTAAGCAAAAAAATGATGATATTAAATAAAACTTTAAAACAGTTTTCTTACGCGTACGTACAACATACCTTTATGTATTTGATTTCATTTAACTATTTAAAAGTGTAGTAGTGCGAATTGAAATGATTAAAGTTTTTTTTGCGTAAAATAAAGATAGTACAATGATATTAAATCATGACTAAGACAGAAAAATAATGTTACTATTACTGTATTAAGTATATTTAACTTATTCTATGAGTCTAAACAAAATTGAAAAACTTGATGTAATAAGAATTTCAAAATTTATAAATAATAAAATCGTATAAAAATGATAATATTATGCATAACGTTATTGATTATTATTAAACGTCTACGTTCCTAATGTAATATATTGATGGGGCACTTCGATTCGTTGAGCATTATTCAACTTCACTGTTCATCTAAACATTATACTTGTTCATTAGTAATGTATAAATATATTCATAAGAGTTAATAGAACAAAAGTAGAAAATGTATTGTAACTGTAATTTAAACTTTTTCAAAGTCTATATTTAATTATACGTTTGAAGTTTTTAAGAGTACACTTTCTGTAATGGCGTTATCTTAAGTGTTTTCTGAAGGTTTTCGCGCTGGAATTCAGACATTCATACAGTAGTCATCGGATTATCAATAAAGTCGCGCGCGCATTATTAACGCTTTGGAAGATACATGTGCAATTATTGTTACACAAGCTAAAAATTAATAACATGTGCGTTAACACGATTTGATAATAAAAAATGTTGTATAAAACTTTTCTAAAATTAGACTTATTGCTATTCTATTTTGTTTACATGAATAATTTACTAGAATCAGACAGTAAAAACAGCTAAAAGTAAAAAAATATATATTGAGTTACTTAAACGTGTGTTGCAAAGATTTTCATCGATTCCTAATTAATTCTTTGACTTTTACAGGTCCGCAAAACAAGTGCACGAATGACTGCCATAAAGGAGTATCCTTTTGATCTGAGCGATCTCCAGAATCAAAATAAGGAAGAGGAGAAACGAAAGACGTCGCAACTGTCAGCGGCGCCAGATCCCGTAGCTGTCCGTTCACCCACACCAGACGGCAAAAGAAAAGTCTCCATCATGGCTGACGAGTCCAGTAAGGATAGAGAGAATCTACCTTCCGAAAAGTAAGTAAACGATATCATCAAAGTATTTTATTTCCCAAAACATTTATACATTTGTCCGTGCACAAACTTCACGGTCAAAAGTGAATTCAATGTTTAACTGTAAAGGCCGGTAATTTAATCTATAAAGATTTCAAATATATGTGATAACTTCCAGTATTTTAAAAAAACATTTAGTTTTAATTTTCATATTTCTAAATACTTATAAGATGAGTTTTTTGTTTTTTCAAGATTATTTTTACCAATTTGTCAGCATGATTAAAGTGTATACTCTCTTTTTTTCTGTACACCTTTTTAATCGTTTTTAAACTGCAGACTGACAGACATGACGATACTATAAGGGTTCCTTGTTGACTATGGAACCGCAAAATTGAAAATGAAAGTGACTTTGTTTGAAATAATAAAAAAAACAATAACAAACATGACTAAAATCCAAACCAAATTTTAAAAATACAGTAGCGTTATCTCGCGAGAACAGCTTATTGTAATATTTAATTTTTCTAATATAATAATTCCCCATTAAATCATGTTATTGGAAAACCGCAAAATTTAAAACGGAAGCCACTTTGTTTGATATAAATCGGAAAATAAAAAACTAAATCCCGTTAACCGTCATCTAGTAAATGTAACATTTTCATGTACTTCACCAACATATAATATTAGAAACAGCGATTATACCGATTTGATTTATACAATACATTATTTAATTCTGAGTAAACAGCTTAAATCATTAAATAATAATGGTATTTAATTTATTATCATTTAATAGTTATAAAAAAGGATGAAATGGAATATAATTACAATGAAAAATTGAATTGTAAACAATGGTTACTATGGTAACGAGTTAATATGTACCTACTTCCAGTCCCATTTTCATCTATTTATGTGTTATTCTCGGGATAACCGCTTACACGCTTTTTGCATAACTTTCACCGCTTACGCAGCGCACGCATGGAAAGCTTTAAAAAGTAAAATATTCTCCCGTTTCTGTAACATTTTTCATTACTACTCCACTCCTATAAGTCATAACGTGAATCTTTTATAGCTGTAGCCTTCTTCGATAAATGGACTATTTCACAAAAACAATAATTCAATTCCTGAGAATATAGAGTTCAAACAAACTTCAGTTTTATTATAAGTAAGTATCCATAGATTATTTGAGCTATGGAGCTTAAACAAATACCAACTTGATAAGTCAATCGTAATAGTTTCTAGATAGGTAGATATAATGTAAACAGCCGTGAATCTATGATCTTTTCCCTTCTAATCTTAAAAAGATCGATGCAATGTTTCTATATTACTATACTTATATAATAAAATAACGTCAGGCGTAAGTAAATTTTAAACGTCAGGTCTAAAATTGTCATAGTTGCCATTACTTAGATTAAGATACCTTTAAGATTGTACATAATTATATTTTACATTTGTAGCCGAGTGGGTAACAATTTACTATTTTCAGAAACACGTGTTTGATTCTCGAATACGTTAATAAATAAAATGAAATTTTCGGAAAGGTATCGAGTCTGAGTATAGTCTGTATCTTCTTCATATTACATTTCCATGATCTATCTATATTAATACATAGTATAAAATAAAGTCGCTTCCCCCTGTCCGTACGCAGAGATCTTTTAAAGTATACACAGGATTTTAATCCGGTTTTTATTAATATACAGAGTGATTGAGGAGGAAGGTTTTTTAGTCAAATGTAGAAACATTCATTACGATTTAATGACGCATTTAAGCCTTAATGAATGTCAAATTTGTGTAAGTAATGTAGATTTAAACTAATGACAATTTTAATGGAAGTTTGTGCAACTGCAGTTTATGTTGTATAACACAAGTATAACACGGACGAAACCGCTCCCGGAAAGGTAGTACTATATAAACTTAATTTTATGTCTAAGCAATCTATGTGATATTGTGTAATATTTATAATATCTTTCCATGATTAATAAACGTGATTGTAAATCAAAACCTATCTGGAAAGAGTGTGATTGCTCATAATAAAAGAGTAGGCGTTAAATGGTAGCGTTGAAATCTTTTGAAGGCAGAACTTGAAACATTTTTGCAAATTAATGAAAATAAACACATCATTTTCTTTATAACCTATAAAAAAAATCTCTCCTTTATATACTAACAGGTATCTACAACATGGTTTGTTTACTATCATCTATGTACCCTAATTAAGAAACCACTTCGAATGGTATGAAGGTACTTTACGTAGGTAAAGTCATGAATAATGACAATGACGCTAAAGTTACATGTGATTTCCAAGTTGTTTTTGAAGGCACTAATTGTAAAAACATGCTCATTTAGTTTAAAAGGTTTAATGTCTTCGGTATCGTTAAAATATTTACGAATACCGTACGTAAGCAGATATCAATTCTTAAAGTGGGTGTATGTTTAATTATTGATACTAGTTCTTGCCAGTGATTTCGTTTGCCTAGTATTCCCAGTAATCAGTTTTTGTTCTGAACCTTCTTCCCGATCTTCATTCTATTTCATTAGTGGTTTTGATTGTTTTGAGTGGAGGGTCATGGCCCATCCTCCTTAACTCCATAAGGAAGGCCTGAGCCCCTGCAGTGGGGACGTAAAAGGGCTAATGATTTGATCCGAAATAGTAAAAACTATAATATAAGTAATAACAACTATATAGTAAAAATTATAATTATTTCTTCCTCTTCCCTTCACTTACTATTTATCAATTAAATAATATTAATTCCAAATACAAGCATTCCTATCACTCCTTTAAGGGGCGATGAAAGTTTAAATTTAGTCATGTAACTCAAATACGATAGGATTCTGATTTATAAAAACAGCCTAGAACTCAAAGATGAACACAACGCTGTCTCAGCATAGAGGTAGAGTCGGTCAAATAAAACATACTCCAAAAAGAAATAAATATTTCAGTTCTTTGAAACTCTATACTATAATAGCGCTGCACTCAACGTTAAGTTCGAGGATGATTTTATTACAGTATACAATGCTAAGATTTCTGATATTGTAATTGAAAGTGACGTTATAGTCCAATGAAGTTACTTTCCTACTGAACTTCTCATATGAAATAAAATAGGAAGAAATAAGTAGCCCTTACTGAGTTTCTTGCTGGTTCTTCTCAGCACAAGGTCTCCCGCCGTAGATATGTGGTATTTGGATGCCATAGCTGAAGACTCTTAACAGTTATTGTAACAACCTAGACTGAATAAAGAATATTGAATTTGAATTAATAGCCATAAAACCGGCGGGCACGTATGAAACAATTAATGGAACTGGTCGAGGCGAAGGATGTAGGTAAAGATTATGCCTTATGTCATTTCTGCCTACCCTGAAAGTGACCCGGTGGGCTTATTATATAATAATAAAATATATCGCTCGCTCTCTCTCTTTCTAAGAGAGAACTTTTCTGACAACGGTTTTTGTTATTAATTAACTTTAAAAGTCGCATTTGCTTTAGTAATGAATGATGGTTTGAATGATCAAGAAACATAATAAATTCATATTTAAACCCGTCGAAAGATTCCAGTTAGCTTTCAACTTTTTCGTTTAAAATTCGTAGCTTTCAAAAAGATTAAAATATAACTTTTGCCTTGGATAAATCCAATGAAAGTTAAATAAACTATATCGTTTATTCAAGATCTTTCTAAAAGATGTCGCTATTGCAATTGCTATCATATGATAAATAGTTATAGCGTTAAGTTCATAAATATTTTTCAAATGTCAAAATAAAAGGGATATATTAGGATATAAGTATATAGAAACCGTTACGACACTATGAGATGCGTATCTGCCATAGATAAATATGACAAACTTGTTGTTTGCATAGCGATAAATACGTCTTTATTTACAGTACAACACCAATCATGATTTAAATCTATATACATGTAGATCGAAGATAAAAGATATTGAAGTTTTTTCTTTGATTTCTTTATTAAAAGTAGGTATTAGATAAGTATTAAAAGTAGTATTATATAACGTATAGTGAACTCCAAGCAACCTGAAAACAAATCAAATTTACAAAACTTTACTCTACTTGGACTTAAGACCAAAGAGGTAACAAAACGAAACCAATCCTGTCAATGGGCGATTTCACACTGCAACCATAACGATATAACACGATACTCATATATCGTGAGCTCGGATGGCAACGATATTTTTACGATATCGGTTTGATACACAATATATCGACACGACAATCCGTCAGCGACGATGAAGTTGACCCCAATGACACAGTGTGAAAGCATCTATAGATATAGTAGTGATTGTATTAAACTACTAGTCCAACGATATCGTGCATTTATAGTTATCGTCCGATGTGAATATGCCCCAGAAGATAGACAGAGTCGTAGCATATTATGCGTGAAAAACTACAGTCCAACGATATCGTGCATTTATAGTTATCGTCCGATGTGAATATGCCCCAGAAGATAGACAGAGTCGTAGCATATTATGCGTGAAAAATACACTATTTATCACGGCGGATGTATGACGCCATTAAAAAAATATCTAAAAGTCTTTAATTATAGCAATATGGATACCAAATAAAAGTTCTGATGGTATCATTCCAAAAATATATAATTTGTATACATAACTTACTAAAAAGAATAAAAGACACTAATTAATTTAAAAAAAACAATACGACTGCCGAAATAAAAAAGCAAATATAATTATGGCTTGGCTAAAACCTCTTAGATTACAAATATCCCACAGAAATGTCCCCCGACTGCAATGAATGAATGAACGAATGAACACTTTATTGTACTTGAAAAGAAAAATCAACATAACAATTACAATAAACAGTGCAATCGGCGGCCTTATCACTAAAAAGCAAAATATCTTCCAGCCGACCATAAAGTTAGACTGGACAGTTACATAAAAAAGATGGGTAATAAATGGTGTCCCACACAGTCGAAATAAAAATATCTATCTGCAATATGCAATGAGCATTTTGTTTAGCAAAACTATAACACAACTTGTTACAAATGCTAACCAATGCGTCATAGAGC